GGTAGTTTGATGACTATACAATTGGAAAGTTTAAAAATATGGTATTTACAGAATGTTTGCCTTCTCAGCACTATGACTTCAATTTAATATTTTGGATAAGCTTTTTAATCATAATCCAGAAAGAAAAATGTTTTTAATGATTTTTCTACAGAAGTCCCCATGAAAAGCGTATCCAAAGATAATAAGGGTGCAGCCTTACATTGATTTGGATTGGAGCAGAGAGCTCTTGTGTATAAAGGAAAGTGTATAAAGTAAACACATGCATAGTATCCTGGTGTACATAATCCATAGTGGAAAGATAACAAATCTATTAGTAATGAATATCCATCTAATGCACAGGTAGACAATCTTCAGCACTCCAAATGTTGTGGACTACACCCCCCTTGGCTGTAAGAGCATTATGGGAGATGTAGTCCACAACATCTGGAGTGCTGAAGATTGCCTACCCCTTATTAATAGTTCATAAGTGTGGATTGCTGCTAGCATAGTAAGAAGTGTAATTCTAATATATAATGTACTTATCATTATAATATGTAACTAATACAGAAGGTGAGACAGGGTATAGGCTGTTGTGTAGAATTGTTTGTAATCAGTTTAGCTGTCAGCCATCCCTTGTGACTATATTGTGTTGGATGCCTTCAGATGCGTCTCTCCATCAAATGTGTTATAGTCTTAGGGCAGATGGGAGTTTAAAGGGTAGGTGAATAGAAGAGCTCAATGTTACAGACAGAAATATATATATATATATATACATTAATATTCCCAGCAGGAAAAGAAAGTTGATGTGCTATTTCACATATTTGTGTATTGCTTCAATTGGGTGTCTACTACTGTATTTATAGTGCATCAGATTTTGTACAAAGAAACCATAAAACACAGCCATATCTATTTATCTTACAGCTTTTATTTTTCTTACACCCCCTTTATCTTAAAAGCAGTGTATCCTAAAAGCAGTGGCAAGGGAGGAAGTACAATACCTATCTGAAAGTTTAATATCCATTTTATGTAACCTTGAAGGGGCTAGGTGCCATTGGTATAAGATTTTATAATAATTCTCCTCATACCTAAGAACCTTATCTAATTCCTTTGAGAGATGCAAACATCTCATACTACTCTTTTAGGTCCTATCGAATGCCTAACTCCCTTTCCCACGATAACATAACATTTTGTGTAGTATCATTAGTTAAAAAAAATAATAATAATAACTTAATTAAAGCTTCTGGTTGGGCTGAAATAAATACTTTTTTCCTAAATTCAAATTGGCTCAATAATATCAAATTATCAATTTTTTCTCGCACTATAACCAAAATCAGAAAGCACTGGGGTGGGGGGCTATAGCATCATCCAGATCCATTTTTTTTTATTACATTAAAGAGAGAAGAAATTATCATTATTAAAAATAGATTTTAAATGCCAATCTTTAATTACAGGTGGGGCAGGTGATGTTTTAAAATAGAAAGCAGCATAGCTCTAGCCATTTTGGTTTGTTATAATCCAAATTAAATTTTATGGCAGTCGCTGCATTGGTTGCATAATAGTAATGTTTGAAATCTGGTACCCCCAGAACCCCACAACTCTTCAACAATTGCCAGATTGTTAATTTAACTCTGTATATTTTATTTTTCCAAATAAATTTTAGTAAGTCAGAATGTACTTTCTTAAAAAAAGATAACGAAACAGCTAGGGGAATAGTCATAAAGTAATATTAGATTTTAAGGAGAATATTCATTTTAATCAATGTTATTCTACCCAGCTATTACATTTCTAGGCCTGAAATCTTTCCATGTCAGTTTTAAGTTCAAGCCACAAGTTAAAAAGATGCATCTTTGATAGGTTCTTTGTCAAATTAATATCCAAGTAGGATATATAAGAATCCCTCCAATCAAACTGGTATCTTTCCTTCAATTCAGCCAGCACAGGCTGTGGAATGTTGAACGATAGCACTTGTGTTTTATGTGAGTAGATTTTATAGTAAGAGATATTGTCAAGTTGATGTAATGGTCCAATTGAGGACTCAGGATTAGCGAGAGAAAGAATAACACAATCTGCAAATAGACCAATTTTATGTTAATGTTCACCAATCCAGAGACTCTCAATCTCTTCTGTCTTTCGTGTGGTCTCAGCCAGGGGCTCAATGGCTAATATAAATAACAAAGGCAATAATGGGCACTCCTGTCTGGTACAATTTGACAGTGAGAATGTATCTGAAAGGAAAACAGAGGCAAAAACGTCTGCCCTAGGGTTGCAGTACAATACAATGATGGCAGTAATAAAAGAAAAAGGCAAGTTGATCTTGACCATCATCTCTCTCAGATTGCCCCGATGGATTTTATCAAATGGGGGGGCGGAGTCTGGCCACCATCTTAGATGGCCACGTTCTAGAGGAGCTCCTGAGGCAAGGGGACATAAATGTTTCATTAAAAAAATATTAAGCCTGGATGACAGAGAATTTTACACAGAAAGAGACACCTGAACAACTGGCAACAATGCAGAAACAAAAAAAAACGGAAAAAAATGTGCCTGTACTTCAAAATCGAGAGGCTGGAGCTGCAAGGGTGAGTAAAGGCCTGCAGGCCTATTCACCTGCCAACAAAACTGTCCCGCGGCATATTTCGCCACAGAAATCCACGTTGGTGGGAGTGGTGAAAACAATCCCACCAACCCGCCCGCCCAGTTACCCAGACCCGCTCTTAAGCGAGCGCAGCCGCGGCCCGCTCGCATTACTCTCAGAGCGGCGGGATCGTGCTGCAAGTGCTGCGACATCGGAGGGCGGCTCAGTGCACTCCGGGCGCTCGACACTCTCGGAGTGCCGCGGACAATCTCCCACAAGCGGCTTAACAGAAGCTGACAGACGCTCGCACGCTGTAATTAAAGCAGCCGGGTCGCTGGTATACAAAAGTGGCCGAGATACAGAGGAGGGTATAGGGGGTGTGAGGTCTCGTTCCCCATCGAGGTCCTCGGCCTCACGGCTGGGAACACCGGCGGGGGGTCTTTCCCTCCATCTCCCTAAAAGACAAAGAATTGATAGTTGATGGTGACAATTTAATAGACAGTAGTGATTTACTGGAGGAAGAACTAGGCTCCATTTATTATTCTTCTATGCAACAAAACATCAGGCATGAAGCCTCTACCAAGATGACTACTAATGAGACTTCTATTAATGATTTTACCACTCCCAAGATGTCTACCACTGTACATGTAACCACTGCCACCACCAAGATGGCCACTGCCACTTCTAACATGGAAATTGCAAGATGGCTTCTTCAGGATTCAAAACCATGACCTACAATCTAATATGCCGCTTGAAATGGCAGAGGATTTACCACCTTCTGCTGGTATGATTATTCAACTTATACAAAATTTAAGAGTGGATTTAAAGAATGACTTTAGAAAAGATTTTGACACTATGTAGGGAGTTTTAGAAAACATTGGTCAACGAACAGAAGATGTTGAATACAAAATGCAGGTGCAAAAACAATCACATTTAGATCTAGTTAACACTGTGAAGGAACTTCAGAAACAGGTCACCTTGCAAGCGGAAAAAATGGATTCTGAAGACAGGAGCAGGCGTAACAAATCGAGGATCAGGGGGATACCTGATAATGTGGACACCTCAGACTTGATACATTATTTCCAAAAAATGGTTAAAACGATTTTACCCAAAGCTACTGATTTAGATCTAATAGTGGATCGTATCCACAGACTCCCTAAATCTGGCAATACACCTGCAACAGCTCCAAAAGACACCATAGTGAGACTACACTTTTTTCATATAAAACAGGAAATCCTGAGCACTATTTGCAAATCAGGTCTCCCTGCGGATTATAAATATATCAAAGTTTTCCAAGATTTCTCAGCCTACACTATGAGACGCCGCAGAGAATTTCAACCCTTCATGACAGAGCTGAGACAAAGAGAGATTTGTTACAGATGGGGATTCCCTGTAAAACTACTCTTTCATATGGATGGCAGCAATTTCACAATCACTTCTCCTGAGGAAGGGATGGATCTTCTTAATGCCATGAACAGACGTCAAACCCAACCTCACGTAACCTCACCTTCTACTCCAAAACACACCCACAAGAAAAGTAGGGCGGATGTCACTTGAAGATACTTTCTTTTAATTTTTTGAAGGCACAAAAGCTCCAACATACATATTGCTGGTTTGGATTTATTACTTTCTCCACGTTGTTTTATCACATCCATTTTATTACTTACAAATTGTTCTTTCTCTTTCCCTTTTTTTTATTTCCCCTCTCTCTCCCATTTTTTGGTTCCACATTCTTTATGCTCTTTATTGTGCATCAACACTTGGTTAAATGTCTATAGGTCAGTGAAGTTTTTGAATGTATATTACTTGTGGCAAAACTAGCCACTTCAGACTATATGTGTAAAAATGTGTTGCTGTAACTTTAAGAATGTGAGAACCAAGCATGTACCTATTTTGTTCATGTTAGGCGAACGAGAGCATTCGTAAGGAAAGCCACCAGCATTCATACAGTAGTTTCCCGAACAGGGATTTTCAACCCTATTCGTGAAACGAATAAACTACCGAATGAGAGACCACACACAGGGGTCGTGTGGCTCTCATTAAACATTGCAACAATGTATCCTTCTGTGATTATTGAGATTAAGGGTGGCCGCCATTCGGCTACCGACCACGCGGCGGTCGGCAATCTTGGATCCTTTGTTAGCCCAGCAGTATTTGGTCGTTGAGCGCCTGGAACTGAAATTGGCTACTCAACGGCACGAATACCGCTGGACTTCCAGGCCATTCAGGAGTGCTGTCATTCGGTAGTTTGTTCCCTATATGCATTGAGTATTTTGAGGTG